TAACCGTCCATAAGTTTGAAATGAAAGATTAGAGGGAAGACAGTTTAACACCAAAGCAACAGGATGACAACGGTTTCATCCTAGTTCAAAAGAAATTCAAGAAAACAAACAACACAAAACAAATACAAGAACCACCTAAATATGCAGTCATCATTGAAGGAATATCCGGCTTATATAAAGAACCACAACTCGTATATGAAATAAAAAAGCAAATCACAAGTCAATATCACAAACATTAATAGACTAGCAAAGGGCGGAGTCCTCGTGAAAGGGGCCGAAGCCAAGGATCTTAACATTCTCCTGACTGAATGGTCTAAAGAGGCTTTCAGTCCAGGAAACATAAAAATACATTTACCAGGTATGAAATCGAACACAAACTCTTTTTTTTCATAATAAGGGGTATACTCACACGCTTACTCATCCCACACCCAAAAGTGGAGAGAATAGTTTCAAAATGCACAAATCAACCCACATCAATCATAAAAGTAAACACAGACAACACATATACACAAAACAACATCAAAGAACTGATAACCAATGGAATCAGACTCTGGTACCAGAGGTTTGAGGTCGAAGAAACCCAAACTCCGGCGGTTGTTATCACGCAGTGCTTTAACTGCCAGCGTTACAGGCATGTAGCGTCAGCATGTAAGTCCCTACCAAGAGGCGTAGGTTGCAGTGGTAACCACCTTACAAGTAACTGTCCAAAAGAGAATAGCACACCACTGTGCTGTAATCAGCAACATACAGCCAATTATAAGGGCTGTTTAAAATATAAATAAATCAAGACAAAAATATTTAATATAAACAACAACATAACACAACCAAGCAAACAAGAAACACAACAACAACCACGAAAACCACCCTTACCAACACAAAAACCAAATACAACAACCACATATGCAAATTTAGTCAAAAAATAACAGAAACAGACTATGAGCACAGCACAAATTAATGAACAACAACAAAAACAGAAAACCTAACACAAAATAAAGTACAAGAATAAAAACAAACAGAAGATACCCGAATATTTGAGGCTACTAAAAACATAGCCAAAGATGTTATAGTACACTATCAAAACCCAGAAAAGAAAAGACTTTTTACACTGCTAATTAACATTACAAAAACAATATGACACCACTAATCCAATTACTAATTCAAAAATTAATGGGCTCTATTCTCACCTAAACATTCACCATACAACACATAAACATCCAAGGTGGTCTTGTTTCTACGAGGCACGAGATCGAAGCCTTAATAATAATTTCAAATCCAGATATATTAGTAATAACTGAAACTATGCTATACAAACAAAATTCACTTAAATTTAATAATTACATAATAATTAGAAAAGAAAAGGGGAATAGCTTTATAATATAAATCCACACTCTCAATAACACAATTAGAATTACAAAACAATAACGAAAATATTACAATCGACATAAATATAACAGATAATCAAACACCAACAATAGCCGGGATTTATTGCTCCCCAACTAATATACTGGATACTAAATTTTTAAACCGAGTAGAAGAACACAATCAAAGTCAATATTGATAGGTGATCTCAACAGTAAATTTAGAAATATTGGCTGTTGTCAAACGTCTGCAAACGGCAAAAGATTGTTAAATAATACGGAATGTGTTCTATTAAACGATAACATCCGGCCACGCAAGTTATGCACATAACACACATGATATTCTAGATCTCCGTATTAGTTCAAGAGCAAATACATTTTCCAGCTTTTATGTAGAAAACGACGTAGACAGTGATCACCTGCCAATAACGTGTCTTTGATCTCGCACCATAATAATCAACTAATAGTAATACCTAAATTCGACTATCAAAAAGCAATTTGGAAAAACTTTGAAATTGAATTAGACAAATTATTACAAAATTTAATAATTCGAAGTGTACAAAATCTATCAGATATTGATGAATACTGTCAAGCAATCATTGAGTGCCTAATAAATGCAGCTGAAAAAAAACAATACCCAAACAAACCACACAAATCATACTGTTACGCCTCTGGTCGTTTGTTAATTTCCTGTATAATTTCTTTCGGATGAAACTTTAGCAATACATGTCTTTTCTTAAATAAAACTAGTTTATTCTTCCCCAATTCAACTTTGCAATACACTTAATTTCCACAGTCACTTTAAACACACGCTATAATTCGCAATGATTCACGCACTTACTTACGGTCATTACCGCGCGTGACTCAATTGTCCGTCTCTGTCTGTCTGCAATTCAATTTCGATTAATTTGGGTCTCGTTATCTGGCGCACTTATATATAGGAATAGAGGGCGCCTAGCACATACTAGATTATTCGTCATCTTCCCCGATCCTTCTAGAATATCATGACGTATACCAGGTCACGTGACTACCGCTGTCGTAACAATACACTACACTGAAACCAAATGCACAAATAACAGACACAATCAAAAGAAGAAGACAATATATGAACACAGGAGACCCTAATAGCAAGAAAAGAAATTAGCAAATTAAGAAATAAAACTAGAAATGAAATAAAACTATTAAAAGAGAATAGTTGGGACAATTACTGCTCAAAACTAAATGATTATACCGACCCTAAGAAATTTTGGACATACTTAAAAAGATTTACAAACAATTAAAAGACATATAAATACCCGACACTAATTTACAATAACAAAATTGCATACACAAACAATCAAAAAGCCGAAGGTTTTAAAGAACAACTACAAAAAACATTTAAAAAACATCAAGAACCGGACATGAACAACCATTTTTACAATAAAGTAAACGAATATGTAAAAAAAAAACAATCAAGAAATGTATACACCAAAATTCCCGGCCACAATTACGAACGCAAAAACTAATAATAACAATTTAGCGCAACAAATCATCAAAATAATTACCAAACCTGAAATAATTCTAGCTATAAAACAATCAAAAAATAAAACACCAGGAGAAGACCACATACAATCTATACTTTTAAAGAAAGGTACTCAGAAATTGTTAGACCACCTAACAGCATTATTTAATCTTCCCTAAATTCGGGATACATACCAGCCTCTTGGAACCATATAAAAGTTTTAATGTTCTTGAACTTGAAGGAAGGAAAACCAGCAAATAAGCAAGAAAACTACCGACCAATTAGTTTAACCAGCTGTCTAGGCAATATTTTAGAAATAATAATAACTAACAGGATCTCAAATTTCTTAGAGATCACTTCAAAATTACCCGAAGTACAAAACGGTTTCAGAAAATTTCGGCAAACAGATCATTTAGTTAGGCTTACTGAAACCGTAATAGAAAGTTTTAATAAGAAGAAATGCACTGTCCTTGCTTTCTCGATATAGAGAAAGCTTTTGACACTGTACGTCATACCTGTTTGAGTTTAAGTTAACAGAAATGGAATTACCCCAAGAGTTATTCGCTGGTTATCTAACTTTCTTGAAAATAAAAAATGTAGAGTTTATGTCGAGGGTACCTACTCGGAGTATTTTACTCCAGAGGCGGGTGTCCCTCAAGGAGGGGTAGTTAGTCATATATTGTACATCATGTATGTGAGCGACATGCCACTGATAGACTCAAATTATAGTTCAATATCACAATTTGCTGATGACGTGGCTATCTGGAAGAGCTCAACTACATCATCAATAGTAGCAAATAAGTTACAACCAGTCCTAAATCAAATCGTAGTATATTGTCAGAAATACAGAATCAAAATCAATATACCAAAAACAAAAGTAATATTATTTTCAAAATCTCTCAAATTAAGTAGAAACCATCCGAAGTTATATCTGAACGGAGCTCTTCTGGATACCAGCCCTTCAGCAAAATGTTTAGGCCTAACTTACGATTCCAAATTAAATTGGAAAAGACACATATTAGAAATTACACAAAAGGTGTGACACCGAGCAAACATCTTAAGGAAGCATTATTAAAATTTATAAACAATACATAAGACTCGTAATTGAATACCCATGCCCAGTATGGTTAAACATAGCAAAACAAATCTCAATAAACTACAAACAATACAAAATTCTATTATCACTGCAGCCTACATAGTCCCAAGATCCACTAACTCAACAATCATACACAAATATTTGAACATAAAAACATTTAAAGGTAGACTGATAGATTGCTCGTTCCGCTACTTTGGTAAAAACTTATATAAAATGATTTGCTAACTGATATAGATAGCTATATCATATATGATGTTGATAGGGTTAAGTGCCTCTCACCATTAAATTACTACTTAATATATAAAGACCACCCACACTGGACAACGAAAATTTCTAAACCTTGAACTACACATCCTCGCGATATCTAGAAAGGGTCATTTATGTGTAAATAACGCGTTGGTGTTTATCTCTTGCGAACAAGTGTGTTGCGACATTGGAACTGTTTGTGATCTTGCACGACCAAATTAAGAGAAATCATGAAATTGAACTGTTTGTAAGTGCTAGTGACCGAATGAAGAGAATATGTAATATTCCCACTAAATGTTACTAATATTTTATTCAAAAGACTTATAGATCTATAACACACGCTCGAACTGAATAGTTTTCGGTTTTATCTCCGATTCATTTAAAAGTGCCCCCCCCCCCCCCAGTGGCACAGCGGTATGTCTGCGGACTTACAACGCTAGAAACCGGGTTTCGATACCCGTGGTGGGCAGAGCACAGATAGTCCATTGTGTAGCTTTTCGCTTAATTTTAAACAAACAAAGTTAAAAGTTCTTCAAAGAAAATTAAAAGGAGAACTTGCTATTTGTAAACAGGATGACATGCGTAACTTTGCGACTTGTACTATTTCATACATTACTGACAGGCTTAAAAGAAACTTCTAATCAGTAATACGAAGGTCAGGGTTACCAACAAAAGTTGTAGATAAACCGGGCAGAACCTTAAAACAAACGTTAAGTTTAACAAACAATCCAGATAATGCTTACAAGAAATAGCTACGCTAAAGACGCAGTAGGGGATAAATACAGAATATAAAATTTTATTTATAAAGTAACTTGTAGAATATGCAATGAATGTTACACTGGAGAAGCATCTCGTATATTTTACGAGTGATATATAGAACACGTAAGAGACTTGTATCAACTCAGCAAAAGTGCCTGTGCCATAGCGGATCACTACATAGAAAAGCTTGGTAGAAATAGTGCCGAGTGTATCACTACATAGAAAAACTTGGTAGAACGGCACTGACTATCCTTTATAAATAGAGATCTTTGGCACAGCTACTAATTTGCTTGACCGTGAATACAAAAGAAGCCTTACTTATTTGTAAATTTAAGCCACAAATTGATTGCGATATAGGCTGGTCATAATGATCGTAGAACTTTTTTCCTCAACTAGTTGACTTCACTTTCAAATCAGTTTGTTCTTTTAATTATATTTTTTATTTTACATTTATTTGTATTATGTTCTTTATTTCTTTCTTCGTCAGTATTGAAGTTATTTTGACTGTAATTTTAAGCTGCACACCTACTTTGTGTCATTAGACTTTGATGTTGTTACATGTTTCTATTTTACTTTAAACAGTATTATCCGCGTGACTTTGATTCATACTCTTCATTTGTCGACTTTTCAAATTTAAAAGTGTTGTCTTTTACGTCGAGTCTAGCCGAAGAAGCTGTAGAAACGAAACATTGAGCGAGATAAACATTTCGTTGTTCTGGAGTTTATGGTCGTTTTTTCATCATCTGAAATGTCGAAGGTATTTTTTTGATTTTGAAAACTGAAGTATCTAATAAACGGTTCTGCTTTACGAGCAGACTAGTGATAATACTGATACTATTTCTGTACATTTATTACCAATTCAATACCTTAAAATATTTAATCAAGTAAAGTCAAATAAAGGTTAAACTGATAGGGGTTTCTTGAATGAAATTTAAGTGCTTTAAGAAAATTATTGAATATATTAAAATTAATCAAAATAAAGAACACACCGTATTTACAAATTCTGCGATGCCAGATGAAACAATGTAATTCCTTTCGCACCAGTCCACAGCAGACGATCCACGCTGAAGAACAAGGGAACTGCCCATTAGAAACGTGCGGGAAATGTTCACCTAGTTTTTCCTGGTAGCGAATCCTTTGTATGGCTGGCTGTTTTTCAGCAATTCGACTTGGGAAACACAGACCTACTGTAACGTGAGTGCCGTCATACTATATAATAAGTCTAGAGAGAGTTGATGTGCTTTCAACAGTGGGTTGTAATTTCGCGTGATTTGTTTTATCCAGCGAAAAATAATATATCTATATATATAATTCTTAATTACTAAACCGACGTATTATTTTCCGAGTATTATCTCACAGCACAGGTTCGTTAAATAATCACACGACAGCATTTAGTAACAACTAGTGAATATATTTATAGATATAATAATTACTATATATCGAAATTGCAGCATCGATCTTAATCTCGTTTTCCAGCCTTTATACCCTTATGACTAATACTGTAACAAGTGGTAACAATTTTGACATCATTCAGTACAATTCGCACTTTCTTTTTAACGCCATCTACTGGTTAATATTAATTATCGGAACTATATTTTCATTTCTAGAGTTTACAGCTTTAATTAATAACAAAATGTTCTAAGTTGAATGGTTTGGGATATTGTATAAAACATTACTAGAATATTTCTTAACCTTTCCTTTTACCAGTCATATTTCTGACTGTTTGGCGCATTCAGGTTTGTGTTCCACATTCACTATTTTTTTCAATTTTTGGCTGAGAATATTATTCAGATGGCGAAAGAGCTTTTGAACTTGTTGCATTTAGAGATCCAACTTCGAAATAAAAATTGCGACAAAGAATGTCAATTATGCCTAAAAATGCGTAGTGTAGGAAAAAATGTCCCATACCCAATCGGTCCTTCTCTTTCAATATACAAAACATCAATATTTGTTCTTTAATTTCGAATTTTAATAGAATTTAAAAATAATTTACTTGTACTCTTATACGCATATATATATGACATTTGATTTCAAAGCTTATAGTGACAAAAAATGTAGGTTGCAAAACTAAGTTTTAAGTGACACATTGTGGATGTGTTCTTAATTTTGGTGCAAATAAAAAAAAAAACAACAACTTATGATTAAACAGATTAATTCATAATTTGTACCAGTTTATTGATTTAATTGCTACTCCTTAGCATTCGGTATAACTTTGAAAGAAACAATAAACTTGTATTAACTTTTTGTTATTTAGGTCAGTATCAAGTTTGTTGTAATTTTTGTTTTATTAATAATTTAGTTACTTGAGTAAATACCAAATCAGGTTAGTAACGTTATTTCTTTTGTGGCTTGTATACACCATGTTAAGCTATAGCTTGAACAGAAATATACTCTGTCCTGACAAAGAGATAAAAGTCAAATTGTCGTACAGTTATTGGTCTTTTAAAATAATTTAAAAGTATGGATACCTAAGTTAAGTTTTTTTGGTTATGAAACTGAAATAAAATCTGAAATCCACACCTAAAATTAATAAGTTACAATAGGTATATCCCTTTCAAGCTTAAAATTCATACATTACACACACACGTTCCTTAATCATGGAATATATATCTCTTGAAGTTCAAAGGAAGAGGCCCCCCAGTGGCACAGCGGTCTGTTTGCGGACTTACAACGCTAGAAACTGGGTTCCGATACCCATAGTGGGAAGAGCACAGGTAGCCCTTAATATAGTTTTGCACTTAACTACAAACAATCAAAGGAAGAGCACCAAGCATTCACAGAATAAGAAATGGTAAAAAGTTGAAAATTTACCTTGTTACGAAACAAATAACAATATAGTTGGATCTAACATTTAACCAATGAACTGTAATACATTACCCTAGTTACAGGATCTCAACAGTATTACAAAAGGATCGAAAAGAGCAAGAGTTTTATTCCACATTCACACACTTTTTGGATTAACCAGATAATGCAACGAAGACATACACGTGCACTCATATATAACTAATTATTTACCAATCACCAAAAAGTAAATAAACATCAATATCTCTATTAGCAATTATTTTCATTACTAAAATTGCTTTGGTAAACACACACACATATCCAATATACATATATAATGTCTGAAGAGCCCACTTTGGGTGAAGGTGTCGAAATTAAAAATGTAAAACATTTATCCACTTATTCTCAGTTAATAAGTACTCGAAAGTACTCGGCTTCGCTCGGGCTATTAGGTTGATATATTCTGGATGACTATGTCAGTGTGTTTATTCTGAACCTATTTTAGCATCCTGCAGGTGGACGTAGTCTTCACCTTGGAGCTTCTTTTGGTTTATGCGAATGAATCACAGCCTTTCTGTTTCAATTTTGGCATATAATACGATTTGGTCATTGTGATTTTAGTGACGGGGTGCAAGGGGGCCGTGAAAGGGGTTGCTGTAAAATCACAGACAGACATGCACGTGCGTGCGCTCATTCGCATCTTTTTCATGAGGCAAACTAGCGAAAAACCACATAGAAAAGAAGTGGTTACTTATATTACAAATATAAATCACAGACAGACAGACAGACATGCACGTGCGTGCGTGCGCTCATTCGCATCTTTTTCATGAGGCAAACTAGCGAAAAACCACATAGAAAAGAAGTGGTTACTTATATTACAAATATAAATCACAGACAGACAGACATAGATTAACAACTTCTAATATTGCTAGTTAGCGGTGTCGAATTGAAAGAATACTATTCAGGTACAGGTGGGTTATAAAAGTTAGTTTCATGTATCTACTTTTAATCAAAGTACGGGATTATAGATCAAACAATCCCCTAATATTGTGTGGGTTCTATGTACTTTTTATGCGTTTATTTGTTTATAGTTTATAATTATTATGTTCTAAATAATTTTTTTTCGGCTTACACTTGTGATAGTTCCTGTGTCCTAAGAAATTTATTTTTCTCCACCGCACCTAAATACTGTTGCAGAGGCTTACTGGCCGGCTTGTGAGTCTGTGCCATCACAGGGACCTTTCCCATCATAGGGGCCTCACAAAATGTTGAAGCATCCCGAATTACAACGCATTTGCAACCCATGGCCGCATTAAGGGCATGGAAAGGCATAAAATGTAACTAAGCAATAGTTAACTTAAAAGTTGAAAAAACAACAACCAACTAATGATCAGAATTATTTCATCAGAAAATATTCTGGTTATTAGTTAGTTGCTTTTTATATTATAAAAAAATCCTATTATATATGTATATATTTGAATATTTGTTTTCTTATTATAGGTTGAGCTTAGATATGTGAAATGAAGCGTTCGTGAAAGCGGTGAATCCAAATGATCCAGGAAGACAAAGAACAAGAATTTATATACTCGCAGCGTGATGCGCTCAATGCCTTTATCGTCAAGACTCCAAGACAACCAGAGTGTGATCGAATGCTGACAGAAGATTGCAGACCTTCAGATAGCCAGGTAAAAGACACTAAAGGTCAACAGCCAAAGGATTCTGACCACTACGTACTTGAGGACCCTATGATAAGTAGTTCCTTCTCTGTGGAAACACGCGAAAATGTTCCATCTGATTCCGACATGTATGTTTCCGCCAATGTCAGTGTTGCTAGCAATGTTGAAGATGAAACTCCGCTAAGTTGTTTTACAAAACCCAAACCAGGAAACATTGCAGCGTTTTTGAGATTTCATCCCGTG